AAAACTTGTAGTAAGGATACTGGATTTATTCCTTCACTAGCTTTCCGCTCGCAGCTTCGGCCGCGTGGAGTTCGGTTATATTGCGTTTCCAAGAGAACCTTTCAAAAGTCTGGGATAAAAACTATTCTATGTTCTTTCTCAAGGTCAACTCTATATCTGTACCAAATTTTATTAAAATCAGTTCAGTGGTTTAGGCGTGAAAGCGTAACAGACAGACAGACAGACAGAGTTACTTAATCGCATTTATAATATTAGTAGGTATTAACAACATACCTCATTATTCAAAGAAATATTTAGAACAAATATATGTTAAAGAAAGTCGTGTTAGTTACACTATTTATAACTCAAGAACGGCTGTACGGATATGGTTGAAAATTAGTGAAGAGATAGATTAGAACAAGGAGACGGACATGATATAATTCAGTTCGATCGAAAAAGAAAAAAAATACTTATTTTAAAATAACTGGTTATTTACAGCTTCTAGGGCGGCAAGAGTTCGCCCGGTCAGCTATACATATATTACTAATTCCGAAATTAACGCGGACGAAGTCGCGAGCAAAAACTAGTTTATATATAAATTAAATATGTTCTTCCTATCTTTGTATATAAATTATGTTTACTTTATATTATAATGTAAAACAAACAAACACTTTAATTCCTTTATATATGTTTGTAAAACCTCAATGTTTATCTTATCCGGAGCCTGCGAGTCATCTTCCAGTGGACCGACTGATACAAGTATATACAGAAACAAATAAATATTAACGTGTAGTACTAGTAGAGGTTTATATATGAACAACTGTTAGGACACAGTGAGTGAGTCAGTACGTGCAGACTGATGAGTGAAGACTGTCCTTACTACCGGTCACAGCGAACTGGACACGAGCAGTGTGGAGTATTACGATCATACGTGACGCTTGATTTGTTATGTTATATGACTGATACTGAGAATTGGAGTTTTACAACTATTAATTGTATTTTTGATTCTTTTTCACCCAAATATATATTCTTCTTCTACCTGGCAATTTCCCAGCTATAGCCAGGGTCTGCCTTACATGTTGTGAATAGTTTTGGCTAATTGTTTTTACGACCGGCCGCCTGCCTGACATCAACCCTCTTTGGGAATGCATTAATCAGTGATGTCTAAATACTCTTATAAAGAACATATGACTCGGAAAAATCACATTGGTACTTGCCAGGGCCAGGATCGAACCCGTGCCGTCGTGCATGAGAGGCGGGCCTTTTAACCACTAGGCCATCACTGACTAAATATTTATACATATATGTATATACATATATATACTTGTTGCGGCATCTTACGAAGTTGTTCAAAGTCCAACTATACAATTAACCTTTCGTAAATTGTAATGTGATATGATTATTGCTTTTTACGTTTTAAAAGTCAAAGAAAATATAGATTTTAATATTGATATCTTATTTTGCGATTACAAGACGATGTATACTTTGTATTTAGTTTATATATAAACTTTCAGTTTAACGTTTTTTACTATAGTATTGTAAGTACTTGTATTAAGGGTAGATAATTAAGTTATATTCCGATTGGAGCCTTAGTCTTCTCATCTGATGAAGTTATATGAATGGAAGTTCCGATAAGTAGCTTTTCGAAGATTTTAATTTTCTCAAGTACTTGGCTTAAGAACTGAAGACAGATTATTTTCCATCTTCATGTAATACTTCCAATTAGTGGTACAACTTTGGAAGACTGTTACAGCGACCGTAGATATTCTATTAAGATTTAAGACCCAATATCTACAATTTCTTTTCAATAAATTTATTCTTGATCGTCAATTTGATTATAGGGCAAAATTGTCATACTTTTCATCATCAGTCAATACACGTAACGCCTTATTTCGTTGTGCATTTTCTCATATTTGATAGAAGATATTTTCTTTTCTCATGAGTAAAAAAGAATTATTCCAATAATAATATCAACAAGAAATCAAACGCAAAGTGAATATTGTGAACCGCTTACTATATGTACTATAATTTTTACATATAGAAGCGATATAATATAAAAGAAAATTGTGCTAGTTATACTATTTATAACTCAAGAACTGCTGGTCAGATTTCGATGAAAATTTGTTGGGAGGTAGATTAGAACCAGGAGATGGACATAGTTTTTTAATCTCGTTAAAAAATACTATTTAACTCCAAAATCTGCTTATCTACTGTCTTTTAACGGAACATGGTTTGTCCGGTCAAATATATTTCTAATTCTGAAACAAACGCAGACGAAGTCGCGGGCAGCAACTAGCTACATAAAAGGAAGTAACTAAGTATTATTGTTATTTTTCTGTGATAGTAAAAAAACGTGGCGTAATCTCAAAGGTCGTTCTAAATAAGACATATCTGTGCACCTGACTTCGCCTATTATTTTTAATAATAAAAATAAAATGGTATCAATAAACGGAGAAAAGTTCTGAATACACGAGCTATACGTAAGTGAAAGTTCGATCAAAATAGGCCCAGCAATATCATTAATTAAAGCAATAAAAAAACAGACAATATTTTTTACATGTAACTTGTATTCAAAATATATTCAAAGTTAAAGACCGTATTTTAATAAAACACAGACTTTTTATATAGACTAGCTTTTGCCCGCAGTTTCTTTCAGGTATATGTGGTATAAAATATTATATACATATAAATTACATAGAAATGATTTCAACAAACCGACAAGTTTTTTCGTTTATATATATTTAGAATCGATGGCACTACCATTTCGTAAACAATACTAAGATCATTGATAAAGCCTACCTTATCAGAGATTTTATCATATTTGTAAAACAATTCCAGGGATCGCGCGAAGACGCCGTACAAGCTAGTATAATTATTGTACAAACAATAATTATATTAAACAAAAAAACAATTGAGAGATACGTAGTAATAAAATAACAAGAGCTATTATATTCTTTTTTATTAATAATATTAAACATTAAGTCAATATTACAAACAGAAAAATACATTCATAAATCTCGTACGTAAATATTATATGAATTTCGTCGGCATCTCCGTTATGGAAGCCGGTGTGACGTGACGCGTTGATCACGCGATCCACGGACCATGGTCTCGACCAATCACGAGCGAGCGTGAGCGCGTTCGATTTTTGAATTTGGATTTCTTTTGCTGTCTTTTTGTTTATTTTTTTTTTCGTTGCTAACTTTTGTTAGCTGCCAGTTGTAAATATTATTTTTTATTTATTCGCCTGTGTTTCGTTTAAAGAGGTTTGTTATGTCATATAAATATTGAATTCATATTAAAAGAATTCATTCTATTTGAAAACAAAGTTATTTGAGTTTTTTGTACTTAATATTATTCTTTATCCCTTTTCTCTGTAATGAGATTTTAATGGAAAATTTCTAGTTTTTATCCTACCATTGGTATTACAAGTTAAATATAGAAGATATATGTATATTTTATCTTGCGTATCTTGCGAGCACAACAGTTAAAACCAGTATTTTATGAATAACAACACAGCCGCAGTTATTTTTATATGATTCTAATATTAAAAACTGTTTTTTACGTTTTTAATTCGTCCTGTAGCCTTAATACAAGTTATTGTAAAACGAAATACGCAGCGTTCACAGTTTTTCAAAGGAATAATTTGATATGAATGAAAAACTTCAAAAGCGCCGTATTTGCTTGGACGGTACAGACGTGTGGTAAAACTGATTACGATAGATAAGTATCTTCGAAATAGTAGGTCTACTCCAAGTTACTATCTATAGGTGTCAAGAGTTATATTCCAATCGGAACAGCCAATTCAGCGTCATCTTTCTTTTACTGTCTCTACACTAGTTAATTTTATATATTTATATATGTATGTATATATTTCTTTGATTAGACTTAAGTAAAATAATTGATGCGAATATATTCTTAGAAAAAAGATCAGAATTGAATTTTTTTTAAATAATAACTTCACTATTAATTCAGTAACTTTGTAGAAAACTATAAACAATTTTAAAGTAATAACTTTCAACTGTCTCGATTTCAAGTTATCGTGAAAGCAAATCTGAATATAACACAAATTAAAGATTTTAAACAACTGAAAATCTATTATCGATTAATCTATCACACCAACACGCTTTAGGAACTAAAAAGTGTCCTAATTTCTAACAACTGCCTAATGCTTATATATCATTCGCCCCTCTCCTACCCTCTCATATTACTACAATATACAGGGTGACTGGTGAATTACTATCAATATTTAAGGAGCATACTCTGTACATGATTCTCATTCGAATTATGTAAAAAAATTAGGTACTTAATTTTTGACCAAATTTCCGTATAAATAAATAAAGTGTGTACACGTTCCAAGTGTTCCTAGTGTGAACGCGCGCGGCGGCGTGCTGATACAACACCACGCCGCCGCGCGCGTATGTGTGTGTGTGTGTGTGTATACCTAATCTGTAGGGTGTTCATACGATGCGTAATTAATTACATAACTTTTGGTTAACTTTACTTAGAAGTTTATTAATATTTATGTTATATTAATTTTTATTTTGTCATATATGATCGTCAAATATCACGTCCTCAAATATCGATAGTAATTCACCAGTTACCCTGTATATCGTTAACCCCTCTCCTACCCTCTCATATTACTTCATATATGTATATATAATGAAATATTCCTACTGGTACATAACTTGAGTTTATATATTATTGGTCACAGGTTCGATGCCAGTTCGTGTAGATCACTAGTTCTCAACCTTTGGTCCTCATTCAAAACTATGTTAAATTTTATTAATATTTTTGTTGTTACAAAATGCATTGAGTTTTTTATCAAGTTTATTTTCTTATATGCGAATAACAAAGAATAAAAATTGGTTTTTAGTCAAGAAAAGGTTGGGAACCACTGCTATAATTTATTTTGATAGATTTATCATACAAAAACTATATTTTTTAATATTAAACTATTTCTTTTGTTAAAGGTAAGGTGATAATCTCTATGACGCGTGTACAGTACTGAAAAACACAAAATGTCTTCTAAGGCTATATACGAGGCTGCTGGCAAGGATCTTATTAACAGGTAATTAATATTATAACTAGTTATGTCTTGTTCTTGTACCTGGCAATTTCCCAGCTTTTGCCAGGTTCTGCCTTACATGTTGTGAATAGTTTTGCCTAATTGTTTTTACGACCGGCCGCCTGCCTGACATCAATTCTCCTTGGGAATCAGCATTAATCAGTGATATCTAAATACTCTTATAAAGTACATATGACTCGGAAATATCACATTGGTACTTGCCGGGATCGAACCCGCGCCCTCACACATGACAGACGGGCCCTCTAACCACTAGGCCACCACTGACTTCAACTGCGGCTTTGTCTGCTTTATCATAATTAATATAAAAGAGAAATGGTTGTGTCACGTGACTTCATTTACAATAATCGTGACTAGCTCCTGAAATGACTATAAATCCAGGATAAATGACTAAAATTATATCCAATATCCTATCCTGATATTTAAACTATATAACTGTCAAGTTTCATCAAAATAAGTTTAGTAGTTTTTGCGTAACATACATACATACATACATTAATCTCCGCATATAAGAATGTATCTATCGTATATTTAATCATACTACGATTTTTGTTATTAAAACTTATATAAAAATAACTTCGAGAGTTCAAAGATTACACATTTGATGTTTTTTTTGTTATCTATACTAATATTATAAAGCTGAAGAGTTTGTTTGTTTGTTTGTTTGTTTGTTTGTTTGAAAGCGCTAATCTCGGAAACTACTGGTTCGAATTGAATAATTCTTTTTGTGTTGGATAGTCCAGTTATCGAGGAAGGCTGTGAGCTATATAACATCACGCTACGACCAATAGGAGCAAAGATATAGTGGTAAATGTGTAAAAAACGGGAGAAATTATTTCATCTTTGAAGCCTTCCCTTGCGTGCGCCGTGAAAACGATTCAAGATGCACAAAAAATATGTATTAAAGAATCATAGCTCTTTTAATGATCTAAAAAACAGTCCGCGACAGTATATGTCGATCTTTTAAGATTAATTCACAAAAACCGTTTTTATGGTACCTAATTTTGTCGAAATAATTTGTTTAAGTTGTATCAAAATAATAATATTAATCTTTATTCATATAAACAAATAAATATGTTGTTGGTTAAGAGTACTTCATTATTAATAAAAAAAACATAGGTTTCATCCTGAAAATTCTACGGGAACTAGACCATTCCGAAAACCCCGCAAGAACGGGAACTATGTGGGAAGAACCAAAAATCTGTCGGAAGTAACTATTCCACGCGGACGAAGCCGCGGCAAAAGCTAGTAATAAATAAATACATTTTGATCATTTATCCTTACCACAAGCTTCACAATACGTACGTCGCGTTTGCCGTTTCTCGTTCAATAATACGTTAATACGTGAAGATTTAAAAGTGGTAGAGCCTAGCTGTGGTCAAGTTACTACAGCTCGAACATGTGCTGGCTCGACCGGGGAAGTACCACCCTCTCAGAAGATCGGCGTGAAGTAGCCATTAATGGCTGCGTTTCGTCCGATGAGTGAGAGAGACGGTTGCCTTTTCCCTATTCCCACTCCTCCCTTTTCCTCATTAATCAAGTTTGGCAACGCATCCTTAACATCTATGTTGCGGATGTCCATGGGCGACGGTAACCACCTAAATATAAATAGCTTTAATAGGTCGAGTTTAAAAGTTACCAATAAGATTTACCCAAGAATTAAGATACATATTATATTGTGGGATATTACATATTAAACTATGATGTTAAGTAATCTATACTAAAATATACGTTTTAATGATGCCGCTAAGTATGATATAATATTTAATAGCTGTCAAAGTATTTAAAGAATAAATTAGTTTAGAATACTTATATATATGTCGTGTTTGTTTGTTCGCGTTAATCTCAGTAACTGGTGGTGATATTTAATAAATTCTTTCATAGTGACAAATCGCGTTGACAAATACTTTCCCTCGTAAAAGTGAACAAAACCAAACGTCATCGCTTTAACATCACTTCGGGTGTGTTCGGGAATTTAAAGGTTCGGTTCAAATTAAATGTGTCTTCTTCTACCTGGCAATTTCCCAGCCAGGGTCTGCCTTAATTCACATTAAATGTGTGTTCTCTATATATTTATATGTTGTTATGTTGTTTTCAGACACATAGAAGCAGGCACGGCTCTAGTGCCCTGTAGATTCGCTGTCTTCGAGCAGGGGACCGTCTGGGAAGATGAGCTGGGAAAGAACCCGTGGCTCACTAAGGAGGTGCGGATATAAATGTAACACACACACACACACATACACACATAAACACACACACACACACACATACACACATAAACACACACACACACAAACACTGGCTCACTAACGACGTAACAAGCAAAAGTTTAATAAGTAATAATAGAAATTTGTCAATGAAAAACTATAAAAGACAAACATGCATACGAATGTATGTATATAACTAGCTGCGCCCCGCGGTGTTACCCGCGGATTTCCGGGATGTAAAGCAGCCTATGTCTTATTCCTGGACGTCAGCTTCCCGTATACAAAATTTAATCAAAATCGCTTCATCCGTCTGAGCGTGAATAATCGACAAACATACACACTCACAAACTTTCGCAATCATAATATTAGTACTATAATAATAATCTTTTCCAACTCCTCAGCAACTAGTTGTTAAGCCCGACCAGCTTATCAAGAGACGCGGCAAGTTAGGGCTTGTTGGTGTGAACAAAACAGCTGCGGAGGTCAGGCGCTGGCTGGCCGAACATGACTCCAAGGAACAGAAGGTCGGCGCGGCCGCGGGCAAGCTCAGGAGATTCGTGGTTGAACCTTTCGTGAAGCACGAACCGGTAAGAACACGCCAAAAACAGATTATCTGCTAGAAAAAGTTCCATCGATATCGGTCCAGCCGTTTCAGAGATTAGACGAACAAACAAACAGAAAGACGAACAAAAATTACAAGTATAAGTCTGATATATCTACCTAGATAGGGACAATAAACATCATTTTTATTACAAAATTTTTGTACATAAAAAAGCTTATCTGCTAGAAAAAGTTCAATTGAAATCGGTCCAGCCGTTTCAGAGATTAGACGGAACAAACAGACAGACGAACAAAAATTACAAATATATAAGTCTGACATATCAACCTGTATACATACTATGAAAAATATTATTATGACAAAATTTTTGAACATAAAAAATACATGAGTGTGTGTACAAAATGATGTAATTGTACACAACAGTTGTACAACCGAGTTTTAAATGAATCGAGTCAATAATGATTCATCGCTATTAATATATCAGTGTGTATAATATTTGTTAAATTTTACCTTGAATACAATTAAAACTATATATTTTAACCGACTTTACAATAATTGGTGTTATGGGTTTAACACTGTCTGTACGTCTGAGTGTAACTTCTATTTAAATGTTTCTGAATTTTATCCTTAGTATAAGTAATCTTAATAAACGAAATACATACAGTTTATAGTTAATTCATATAGAAAAATGTATTTAAAGATCCTTATACTTATTAAATAGCTCTATTTAAATGTATGTATATATAATTTCCATGTCACAATATTAGTTACCGTACTCTGAAAAGGCTTTACCAATTTTTCCAAATTTTTTTACGTATTCAATAGGTCTGAGAATCGGCTACAATCTATTTTTCAACCCCTAAGTGATAAGGGTTGGTCAACCTTAATTTTTGGTTTCTATTTGGACGAAATTGTTTGTTTTAATATTTATAATGTGGCAATAAAAATACATACAACCCTTAATTTTTACTTATATATTATCATCAACCCATTTTTTTAAATGATAAAACAACGTTATATATACTCGCTTTCCCCCCGCAGCTTCGCCCGCGTGGAGTTCTGTTATATCGCGTTTCCAAGAGAACCTTTCAAAAGTCTGGGATAAAAACTATCCTATGTTCTTTCTCAAGGTCAACTCTATCTGTACCAAATTTCATTAATCCGTTCAGTGGTTTAGGCGTGAAAGCCTAACAGACAGAGTTATGCATTTATACTATTAGTAGGGATATATATGTATATGTGTGTCTGTATATATAATATATCTCTTAAACCCCACAGAGCGAGGAGATGTACCTGTGCATCCAGTCAGGTCGAAGAGCCGACACCATAATGTTCCATCACCAAGGAGGAGTTGACGTCGGCGATGTAGACGCGTTGGCTCTCAGGATGGATGTAAGGAATAAAAACAATATTATATATAAGAATTACTAGTATTCATTTAAATGAAACTAATATAATGAGTATTCATTTAAATGAAACTTATATCTATCGAAAGTATTCATTTAATTACATTCAGCTAGGATAATAATGTGGTTTTTTGATAGATGATAAAATTGTGACGCCAATAAAATAATTTATTGTCAAAGTGCGCGAGACATTAAGTTTGGGAATTTTAAACTACATGCTTCCGAGAATTCGGTTACTTTGTATTTGTCATCACGGACAAATGAGATGTGAAAGAGTTTTTATGGTTATGTATACAGTAGCTTTCAAGAAAATTAGTAAAAAATATTGATTCATCATCAAGAAGCTTCAATGATGGTATAAAGACCAGATGTATTGAAATAGTTTCATCAAAATCGATTCAGTAGGTTTAAAATCTAATCTTACAAACATACACATTATATTTTGTTTTTATATCAATTTATCTGAATTCATAATTTGAATTTTTACTTATCATAAGTAATTTTAAACAATATCAATATCATATCATTATCGTGACTTTGTAATTATTATTTCCAGATCCCCGTGGATACTTTCCCGTCCATCGAGGACATTGATCGTGTACTGTTAAAGAACATTAAATCCACAACAATAAAGAGGTATGATATAATATTAACTAAATACATATAACATCATCGTCATCATCAGCCTATCAGAGCCCACTGCTGAGCAAAGACTTTCTCTCACATGGAGAAGGTTTGAGCATTAATCACCACGCTCGCTCAAGTCGGGTTGGTGATTTCTAACTTATAATTTGATATTATAAGTCCAGGTTTCCTCATGTGTTTTCCTTCATCGTTTGTCAGTAGTGTCTAAATTCCGGCGTCGGGACGTGACGACCCCATCGCCCACTGGTGTATTCCGGTGCAATCAGTCACGGGGGGGAGGGCTGGGGGTACAGCCCTGGGAGTAAGACGGTCACGGATCTGGCAGGAGGCCGTCCGTGGCTGTCTTGGGGGGGAGGGGATACTCGGGTCTCTCCGGAGGCCTGAGTTCACTTGTGGTCGGTCGGTTTCCTCTCTGTCTGCCGTCGGGCGCTTGCGCTCGTCGGTGGGTGGTTGGAGACTGGCCGCGTGGGCTTGGGTGGGAGGGGTAAGGGGTTAACCCTCTCGCGATTAAGCAAGCCCGCCAGGCGGGGGGACACTCCTGGTCACTTGGAGTGAGCCCTCGGGGGGGGAGGTGGCCGTTCGCGGCCCGCCGCCGGATCGTCGCGGATGCATGCTTCGGCGTTTCCCGTGGCGATCCACTTGGCGGCAACGGAGAGTGACCGCTGGTGTTTTAGTGGGTAACATGGGCCCTTCTGGCCGTGAATCCCACATAACCGCCTCCGTCTCCCCTAGACGGAGGGGTAGGTATAAAACCTTTCACCGCGATAACAAAAAAAAAAAAAAAAAAAAAAAAGTAGTGTCTAAATACTCTTAGTAAGTACATATGATTCGGAGTAATCACATTTGTACTTGTACCAAAAGTCAGTGGTGGCCTAGTGGTTAAAAAGCCCGCCTCTCATTGCCGAGGGCGCGGGTTCAAACCGGGCAAGTACCAATGTGATTTTTCGGAGTCAAATGTACTTTCTGTGAGTATTTAGATATTACTAACAGGTGGTGAAGGAAAACATCGTGCGGAAACCTGGACTTAAAATTTCACAATAATAAGTTGAAATCACCAACCCGTCTTGAGCAAGTGTGGTGAATAATGCTCAAACCTTCTCCATGTGAGAAAGAGGCCTTTCAGCAGTGGGCTCTGATAGACTGATGACTGACATTTGTACTTGTCAGGTTTCGAACCAACACCCTTATGCGAGAAAGGCGGGTCATTAACCTCTAGACCACTACGACTGTATATATATGTTGATGTAGAACTCTGTATAAGTAATCTATTATACGTCATTCATCCAGGATTCTGTCCAAGTTCATCGTGAGCCTATAGAAAACAAAAATATATCCGGTCTGGAAGCAGACGCACAAATATCCTCGGGGATTTTATATTGTTAATATATATATGTTGATGTAGAACTCTGTCTAAGTAATCTATTATACGTCATTTTTCCAGGATTCTCTCCAAGTTCATCTTAAGCTTATACCGCGTGTTCGTGAACCTATACTTCACGTATATGGAGATCAACCCAGTAGTGGTTACCGGCGAGCGAGTGTATCTGCTCGATTTAGCAGCCAAGCTCGACCAAACGGCGGATTTCATCTGCGCCAAGAACTGGGGCGAGATTTCCTTCCCGCCGCCTTTTGGACGGGACGCGTACCCGGAGGAAGCGCATATAGCGGATCTGGATGCGAAGAGCGGGGCTAGCTTGAAGGTTAGATCATATATAGTATAGACTTTGTTTAATGAACACACTTGATAAAAAATGTATGTGGAATTATCATATCAATTAATAAATCAATAGTATGATGACGACTAATTGTAAAAGTTATTTAGGTAATTAAAATAATTTATTTTTCACGCCACTAAATATCAATTTAAGAGTCAAGCAAGAGTCCCTATCATTGAGAGTTTATAACAGTACTGAAATATAAAATTAAAGACATAGTATTTATACTAGGCACAACCATATAGTCCTCTCCCTATTAATATTATAAATGCGAAAGTAACTCTGTCTCTCGGTCTGTCTGTTACGCTTTCACGCCTAAACCACTGAACTGATTTTAATGAAATTTGGTACAGAGATATAATTGACCTTGAGAAAGAACATAGGATAGTTTTTATCACATACTTTTGAAAGGTTCTCTTGGAAACGCGATATAACGAAAGCTATACTATACTATACAGGGTGACTGGTGAATTACTATCGATATTTGAGGACGTGATATTTGACGATCATATATGACAAAATAAAAATTAATATAACATAAATATTAATAAACTTCTAAGTAAAGTTAACCAAAAGTTATGTAATTAATTACGCATCGTATGAACACCCTACAAATTAGGTATACACTCACACTCACACATACGCGTGTCGCGACGTGGTGTTGTATCAGCACGCCGCCGCACGCGTCCACACTTGAACACTTGGAACGTGTCAACACTTTATTTATTTTTACGGAAATTTTGTCAAAAATTAAGTGCCTATTTTTTTTACATAATTCGAATGAGAATCATGTACCGAGTATTCTCCTTAAATATTGATAGTAATTCACCAGTCACCCTGTATAATTAATATATATTTCAGTTAACGGTGTTAAACAAGTCCGGTCGTATCTGGACGATGGTTGCTGGCGGAGGCGCGTCAGTAGTTTACACGGACACGGTCTGCGCGCTAGGGGGCGCGGCCGAGCTAGCTAACTACGGGGAATACTCCGGCGCGCCCACTGAGAGTCAGACCGCGGACTACGCTAAGACTATATTCAGTCTCATGTGCAGGGAGAAGCATCCCAAGGGCAAGGTGGGCTGCACAGATTATAGAATGTGTTGCAAAGATTATGTAATGTTAGACGGTAGTGGGGGGCGCACAGATTACATAGTCTGGGTTGCATGTATTATGTAAAGTTGGAAAAAATTTAAGGCGGTATTTCAACTTTGTTTATTGGTCACTCGTAATATAATTTCATATATAGCACTTACATTCTATTTATGATACAGAGGGTGTTAGTTTCCTTCATAACAGGTAATTAAATATTATGTAAAAAGTTCTAAGGCTCTAATTATAAATTATAAAACAATTTGTTAAGTACAGAAATATCATTAAAATTAATTTACACTAATATAACAAATACACAGATAGATGGCGCTAGTTGACTATCATAAGAATTCCCAATGAATATCAGAATAACGTTAAGCTTAGAATTATAAAGTACATCATAATTTTAAATTGTTATAAACAAATATTTGTCCGCGACTTTGCCTGAGTTACATTCACAATAAGAAATGCACAGCTGACCGAGCGAACTCTATTCCTCCTTAAAGACGTTACATTAGAAGATTTTAATATTGATCAACTTATTTTTTTCTTTTTGAATCAGATGAAAAATATTCTAAGTCTTTTCCCTTGTTCTAAGCTATATCTCCACGAATTTTCGTACAGTCGTTCTTGAGTTATAAATACTGTATCTAACAAAACTTTCTTTCATATATAAGATATTCAATGTTATATCATATATGTATCTTTAAGCGGGGAAAATATCATCTTGATCGTTTCTACCAGAACTAAATGACTTGTGGCCATATAGTGGTTTTTATTAAAAATAACTATTGTTATAATGATATATCTTAATATTTCCGTAGCTATATGGTGGTACTAAAAATAAGTATTTTAAGGGTTTATTTAAATGAAACTAATGATTTTAAAATCGCGTAGTACATCCTTAAAATATTACTTTCATTTAAATGAATAAGACTCGCGATAATCTTAGATATCATTATTTAAAGCGTTATATCTTATTATTTCCAGGTTTTAATCATCGGCGGCGGTATAGCTAACTTCACGAACGTAGCGGACACTTTCCGAGGTATAATAACTGCTATAGAAACATACCGGGACGCTCTGCTACAGTACAACGTGACTATCTTCGTGAGGAGAGGCGGACCCAACTACCAGGAAGGGCTAAGGTGATGAATGTTTGTCTATATGTCTATCAATGTATAAATAACTCATAAACTAACAATATACAGTGTTAGCGGAAGAATTCTTGTTAAAAGTACTAAATAAATTTAGTGGTATACGAATGTAAGAACAGTTGGAAGCAATCAAAATTATTATTTTACTATAGTTTTGTTTTAAAAAATTACATATTAGCCCTTATACATAGGAATTATCGATGTCTATCAATATATGGATAACTCATAAACTAACAATATAAAATGTTACCGGAAGAATTCTTGTTAAAAGTACTAAATAAAACATCTATAATTGTTTATATGACTTCAATAGACTGTAAGTTGAGAATTGCTGTTGGTTGTACATATTTTACATATATATGGATATAAGAATTGTTGGAAGTAATCAAAATTATTATTTTACTATAGTTTTGTTTCAAATCTCATTAATTAATATACTGCTATACACATTTAGTCATATATACATCAATATTATAATAATAAAAGCAATAATATAAGTTGAACATCAATATAACTTTCCCTCACCGGGACCAAGATTTGGGAGATTCTAATGATATGATTCTCATTATATAACTTAGTAAAGAAGAAAACACGTTATGATTTTTAAAAAAAACGTTTGCCGGGCACTTTCCGACTTTTAATATCAAGACTAATTAGGGCTGAGCAATCGTTCTTGATAATAGTTGAGAAAAAAAAAAATCAGATTGTCACTAATGATGTTCCTTATATAGGTGGCTTGAGGGTTGCCAATTTAATAATTAATTATTATCATTTAACAATATCTTCTTCTACCTGGCAATTTCCCAGCTTTAGTCAGGGTCTGCCTTACAAGTTGTGAATAGTTTTGGCTAATTGTTTTTACGACCGGCCGCCTGTCTGACATCAACCCTCTTTGGGAATGCATTAATCAGTGATGTCTAAATACTCTTATAAAGTACATATGACTCGGAAAAATCACATTGGTACTTGCCAGGATCAAACCCGCGCCATCGTGCATGAGAGGCGGGCCTTTTAACCACTAGGCCACCACTTTTTTTTTTTTTTTTTTTTTTTGATGACGTAGTGGAAACTCTTTTTACGAGCCGTCCAACCGACCTTGGTGGGGCCGGAAGGGATGTGTGAGGCTCGGCCTGGGCAGGCCCCTACTCACTAAAACCACTGCGAAAGCCATCGGCCGCTATGTCGGTGTACCCCGGATCTGTCAGCGACAGGGCACACCAGCGACTGGCCGGTCCTGGCAAAGACCGGACTTACTCCCTCGGAGAATGGAGGCGATCCCGGCAATTAGGACCACCCCGACGACGCCGGGTTTTCAAAAGGGCCGGGTTACCACGCCGACCCCAGCCCGGAACACAGGGGTGCTATTGGAGGCGTAGGACACTAGGCCACCACTGACTTATCATTTAACAATATATATAATATATATTTTAATGTTACAGACAAATGCGTGAAGTGGGCCAGCGTCTCCGTATACCCATGTACGTGTTCGGTCCTGAGAGCAACATGACTGCCATCGTGAGGCTGGCTCTGGGGCACGCGGTCATACCCAGCGACCACCAGCTCGACTACGCTCCCAAGCAGCTGCCGAAACCGGAAACTGCTGTGAGTAATACACACACAGACACACACATAAACATCAATGTCATCAGCCTATCAGAGCCCACTGCTGAGCCTCTCCTCACATGGAGAAGGTTTGAGCATTAATCACCATGCTTGCTTAAGACGGGTTGGCAATTTCTGTTAAGTATATTTGAATTTCGCGCCTTATTTAGATTTAACTCACCCTTGACTTAATGATCTATATTGTTTTTAGTGAATGTTTTTCTTTTTACATATATACTTACTCTATGCTTGCAACACTACTCTGTGATATTAGCGATTGTATTTCTTGTAATAAACCTTTAAATTACCTTGTTAAAAGAGTGTTTAATAACTAAAGCTATTAATTTCAAACTTATAATATGATATTATATGTCTTTGTTTAATAGAAATTTTCCTTCATCAGTCAGTAGTGTCTAAATACTGTAAAGTACATATATACGGAAAAATCACATTACATTGGTTCTTGCCAGGTTTCGAACTCGTGACCTTCATATATGCGAGCCTTTAACCATTAGTGATTAGCCCATCACATAATCTATCTCTCTCTAATCTATCTATCTCTCTCTAATCTAACTATCTCTCTCTCTCTCCAGCCGGTGTTTGCCTTTAACCACTAGGCCACCACATAATCTATCTCTCCCTAATCTATCTCTATCTCTCTCTCCAGCCGACGCCCCAGATCGAGCTGCCACAGCTAACCTCGTCCCTGTTGGAGCTGGTATGTTCCCAGGCGCCCACCAGGAGCGACTTGGGTCAGCAGCTGTCAACAGCCAGGCCTCTGTTTAGTGATAGAACCAAGGCTATAGTGTGGGGGATGCAGAACAGGGCTATACAGGTCGGTGGGGTGGACTTGACAGTCTTACTGCTTATATATATATATATTTGGATTCCACAATCAATTAAAAAATTAATGAGTTTATCTGTATGAACAGATTTAATTGTTAGGTCTTCAAAGGGGTTCAATCTATATTAGGTTCAAAATATAATATACAAAATATATTAGAAAAGAAACGACATTTAATGCTATTAATCAACTATGACCAATGATTCCAATTACAATAATTATGATCTATAATACGAATTCTCTTTTTGGCAGCAGTATCGTAATAGGTTATACATTTTAAAAATAAACCACAGATAACAATATTCCGATACCTCCCACGTAAGTTGTTGTATCTTCAAAACTGTGAATTTACAGTAGAGCGTTTCAAAGATTCAAATTAAACCAAAATCTGCAAAATTTTAAAATTACAACATTAGGTATGCATCTGACAAATCCTTTAAAAGTAGTGTTTTTATTGTTTTTTTTACTTTGAATGGATATAATGATCCATAATCGGATATTTTTCAGAACAAAGAAAAATAGCATTTTAGAAATATAACAACTTACATGGGAGGTATCGATTTGTTGTTTCTTAATATAACATTTTGTTATTAAGTCTTTTTTTTCATTATTTGTCATGTTCAATGGTCTCTATAATGTTATACCCAGGGTATGCTCGACTTCGACTACGTGTGTCGCCGCAGCGAGCCGTCGGTGGTGGCCATAGTGTACCCCTTCACCGCTGACCACAAACAGAAGTACTACTTCGGCACCAAGGAAGTGTTTATACCCGGTGAGATTATTATTACAGTCAATATATTTACTACAAGTTTGAGTCACTAAATACTCCACGTCAACAGTATTTCATTCATAAATCTTGTATAGTATTAACGTAGTATTGAATGAGAAACGGGAAACTATTAGTATGTAGTGTGATGAAAGAAAGTTATGTTGTGAAGTGAGCGAATAAGAATGAAATTTGTTAACTTATGATTAAGGAATTATAAATATAACTTGAAAACGAGGATATTACAAAAGTTAGCTTGTAGGATGTTGATGACGACACTGATGGGTTATTTGAAAACACTTGGCCACAATGATATGACGAATCGTTAATACATAAGTCTTCTCTTCTTCTACCTGGCAATTTCCCAGCTTTAGCCAGGGTCTGCCTTACATGTAGTAAATAGTTTTGGCTAATTGTTTTTACGAACGGCCGCCTGCCTGACATCAACCCTCTTTGGGAATAATACATAAGTACATAAAAGTGCTGGTCCAAATTAGATCGTTTAACAAGATCAGAATTAACCATTCGTTAAAATAATGTTCTATAAAATTACACTATCTAAAAATAATGATATTAAAAACAAATTTAAATTAAGAAAATTACGTTATATCTAAACGTATACTGGAATAAAATCTGAATATAATACAAATGAAAGATTTTAAACAACTGAAAATCTACTATCGATTAATCTATCACACCAACACGATTTAGGAACTAAAAATATCCTGATCTCTTGACAACTGCTTATATATCGTTCGCCCCTCACACATTATTACAATATATAATATGTTTTGTATAATAATTTCAGTATTCAGCGACATGGATGTAGCAATGAGAAAGCACCAAGAGGCGACCGTTTTAGTAAACTTCGCATCACTCCGCTCAGCATACGACAGTACTATGCAGGTAACTATTACACCACCTACAACCAACGTTAACATCAATATGTGCTTATTAAAAATAATATTAGATATATGTATGCAAATATAATCTTTTCTAGTACTAAACGAGTAAAACATTCCTTTGTCGTGAAGAATGAACGAATGAAGAAAACAATGCGATAGCTGTCTAAATAAAATGCCCAAAATATTTTATAAATTTTTTTGTATTATGAAATTATATTAAAGTTAAAATATATATCTACATATTACATTATTTTTGGTTATATTTTACTTATCTATAGCTATTATCTTGCTCTACTTGCAACACATTGCTTTATTCTTGTTTTTGATACAAAAAATCATAATTACTAGACTTAAATACACTATCAGTCTAGACTAGATTATAACTTTTAAAACAGTGAGTCTAGTCTAGATTATATAAGATAGGAAAACACTATAAAATAATATAAAACAAAGTAAGATTATCTTCCTTATATAACAGACTATTCTAGCCTAGTCTAGACAGCCTACTATATTAATTGTAGTCTCGACTAGTTTACATGGCTCGTACAATACTAGACTAGACTAGTCTAGACTACAGTCTACTATATGTTGTATGAAACATAGATTAATCTTAAATATATAAATTTTTCCAGGCGATGCAACATCCACAAATCAACACAATAGTTATCATAGCGGAGGGAATCCCAGAAAATATGACGAGGAAGATTATCAAACTGGCCGATGATAGAGGGGTAATGTTTGTTAGGCTTTCACTATAAGTTACTGGACCGATTTCAATGAAACTTTCCTTTAATATGAATATCAAGTCCTTGGAATGGATGAATCGATTTTGATAAGAATCATTAAAATGGAAAAGATATTACAGGAACATTAAGTTATATTAAAAATATTATGTTTTTGGACTCTATAGTCCAGTGTTACATGAATCAGAATATATAAAATATACATTTATTAAAATATATATTTTTAATATTAATCAATAGGTGAATATAATCGGTCCGGCCACAGTGGGAGGTATTAAGCCCGGATGCTTCAAGATCGGCAACACTGCTGGCATGATCGACAACATTATAGGCAGCAAGTTATACAGACCTGGCAGGTTGGTAGAACTGAATATTTAAGTATATAATATGAATAATATGTGTTTAGAAGATTTGTTTATGGATTAACTCACTCACATTCACAATAAGTATATAATAATAAGATATAAGATTAAAATAACAAGACCGACTGACAGACACTCACATCTCGTCTGTCCGTGATCAGGGTTGCTGTAAAGTAGCCGAAACGTCGGGAGTATGTAGTTTATAGTCAAAAATAAAAAAAATTAGTTTCATTTAAATAAGTATGTAATATCCAGCGAGTTATTATATGGATATATTTATATACACTATCGCAAAAAAAAGACATTTATATATTTAAAAAAAAGTAATAAAAAACTGGTGTTTACACAAAAAAATTACATATAATGAGATCTAAGATTTTCGCGAATATTCATTAAAATGAACCTAATATTATTCGGATTACCATGATCACGGTTGCTGCAAAGTAACCGAAACGTCTTGAGTATGTAGTTTTTTATATAATAAAATACGCAAAGTAATCCGTAAATATTACATCATATTAAGGTGGTACTTCACTTGCCGTTTATTTGTTTTTCGGGCCAAATAAGATCGTGTGTGGAGGATTTATTCGTCTTCACTCTTCATTTGACATATTTGCACAAATAAGACACATACACAAACAAGCGAAAACGCGTAAAGATGTTGTTGGCATGCCAAGTGTGGATGTCGTGTTTGCGCTGTTTGGACTACGTACAAAAATTTGGGCAAATGCAGCGAATACGCAACGCGAATAGGCAAAGCCAAGTGAAGTGCCACCTTTAAAGTTACATATCACACACATAAAAGCATTCACACTATATTTAATTCTTGGATGAGATTTAAGTAAAATAATTGATGTGAATATATTCTCAGAAACAAGATTAAAATTGTATATTATATGTAATATGTCCTCAGCGTGGCGTACGTGTCCCGTTCCGGTGGTATGAGCAACGAATTGAACAACATTATATCGAAAGAAGCGGACGGCGTGTGTGAGGGAGTGGCTATCGGCGGAGACAGATACCCGGGGACTACCTTCATAGATCATCTGATGAGGTATGTAATCATCATCATCATAATCATCATCATATCATCATCATCTTCATCATCATATCATCATCATCTTCATCATCATATCATCATCATCATCACTGTAGTGTATGTATCTATACAATAGATATAATACACTGTCTGACGTACCCCACTGGAGGGGGTGGCATGCGCTCGGCAGACTAATGACTAGCGCGGAGCAGAACGGGGACGTGCGTGCGTTCTAGGCGGGGTAGTAGTGAGCCAGCGACTAGTTATACTTACATGTAGGACCAGGGATCCTACAATCATCATCATCCTATCAGAGCCCACTGGTGAGCCTCTTCTCACATGGAGAAGGTTTGAGCATTAATCACCACGCTCGCTCAAGACGGGTTGGCGATTTCGAAATTGTAATTTGATATTATAAGTCCAGGTCATTTCGTGATGTTTTCCTTCATCTGTCTTTGGTGTTTAAATGATCTTTGAAAGTACATATGATAAGCAAAAATCACAGTGGTACTTGCCAGGTTTCGAAACTGCGCCCTCAAGTATGCGAGGCGGGCCTTTAACCATTAGGCCACCACAACAATGAATTTATTATATGTATAAATGAATTTCTCTAACTATAACATAAAAATATGTAGCACAATTTAATCTATAGCAGCTATTGATAGGTTTAACTGTCATCAGAAGAGTTTAAAAGATCAAAAAAGAAAATATAATTTTATTATTATCTGACCCGGCCAACATTGTTTTGCCATATAAAAAAATAGGGGTTGGTGATAAAAAAGTAAGACTTTTTTGGATTGTATTTTTTTTAATGCTACATTATAAAAAAATAAAAACAAACTATTTCGTACGGAAATTAAAAAAAAATTAAGGATGAACAACCCTTATGAAGTCAGTGGTGGCCTAGTGGTTAAGGGGCCCGCCTCTCGTTGCCGAGGGCGCGGGTTCAAACCTGGCAAGTACCAATATGATTTTTCGGAGCCATATGTACTGTCTGAGAGTATTTAGACATCACTGACAGATGAAGGAAAACATCGTGAGGAAACCTGGACTTATAGTTTCACAATTATAAGTTTGAAATCACCAACCCGTCTTGAGCAAGCGTGGTGATTAATGCTCAAACCTTCTCCATATGAGAAAGAGGCCTTTGCTCAGCAGTGGGCGCTGATAGGCTGATGACAACCCTTATGACTTAAGGGTATAAAAAATAAATGTTGGTCGATTCTCAGACCTACTCAATATGCTCACAAAATTTCATCAAAATCAGTCCAGTCGTGTCGGAGGTCTCTGTCTAACACCGCGACATCAATTTTTTTTATATAAGATATATATATATCATGTAAAGATTAAATAAAAATAGTTGTTTAGTATAACAAACGTATATTCCAGTTATGTGTTAAATTATTGATTGATCGACTGTTGATTGTTGATCCATTAATCATTATTGATCGATAAACTATTGACTGATGGACTATTGATCGATCAACAATTAATGATTCTTGATCGACTTTTGATCCATCAACTATTGATTCTCCATCGACTACTGACTTCTCCACCAATCATCATCATTCTCTATTCTTCTCCAGATACGAGGCTGATCCCAACGTGAAGATGCTGGTTCTCTTGGGTGAGGTGGGCGGAGTTGAGGAGTACCACGTGTGTCGCGCCATTAAGGACGGAAAGATCACCAAGCCGCTGGTCGCCTGGTGTATAGGGACGTGCTCAGGTGAGAACAGTTATTCCGAAACTTATTACCCCTACGAATCAACTGTGCACACCTCTGGAATGAGACCCCTCTCCCGCTCCCCTCGCGGCGCCCCGTTTTCGCCGTAAGCGCTCAGTAGCGATAGCATCATTGTTACATTTACTTATTTACCTATTATTAAATACAAAAATTATCTTAAACTATGAAAAATATCACCGCAATAAAAAATCTAGCGTCCACTTGCCGTTTTTTATTGTTAAGCTGTAATATCATATCGGTCCATATGTATCTATTTAATTGGAAAACTTCGTGAGTAAAATGACCTAGTATTATTACGCCTTATCATAAAAACGACTCATTATCAACATAAAAAAAATTATAATTTATATATGTATATTTTTTATAATTCTCAGTTTTTTTGCAAGCGGTGTCGTTCTAATGACGTCACAGAGCGAGGTGCACAGTTAATTCGTAGGGGTTATATACTATGACAATATATTATTTTTTAGCTGTTGTTCAGGTGAGAACAGTGGTTCCCAAACTTAACTTATACTATGACTGTTCAAGGCGATAAGGCTCAATTTTGAATGTGCGGAAATATTCGTAATGAAGATACGTGTGAGCGTTGTAGTGGTCTATTAGTAACTAATATTTAAAATTTACAAAGCAGTGGACTGTATCCCCTAAGTATACCCACATAATTATGAATACAAATAATATTGACTTCTAATAAAGGGGCGAGCCCATCAGCTGTGTGCTAGGTCTTATCTTAGACAATGACAATATATTATTTCTTAGCTGTCATTCAGATGAAACCAATGCTTCCCAAACTTTTGCCTTTAAAATATATTATTTTTTAGTGATAAATTTCTTCAACTACTGAAAAATCAGTATAACTTAGCTGAATGAAATCACTACCTAGGGCTCGTTGTGTACACTGTTTCCCCAACTTATACTTTGAAAATATATTATTATTTAGCTATCAAATTTCTTTACCTACTGAAGAACTTTTATCACTTATCTTAGCACAACCCATACCTCTATACAACACCATCATTTTTGTTCTGGGTTTGATACCGCCTTTAGGCACAAATGGTCGCCGCCACTTTGTGAATGGCTGGATTATACTTACTTTAATGTATAGAATTGTATACTATAATTCATTTTAATTTTGCTACTTGTTTGTTACTACTTCACCTAGGATTTTGTCCATATATTAATCCCATCTATCTAGTATAAAGATCATTCAAAATCTGTTTTTTTCATACATGCATGTTAATCATATATTTTCTATATAATTTTCAGATATGTTCACGTCTGAAGTACAGTTCGGTCACGCGGGTTCGCTCGCCGGTTCCGCTCTTGAGAAGGCTGCGGCTAAGAATAAGGCTTTGGCCGAACATGGGGCTATAGTACCAGACTCGTTTGACACACTTGGAGCGGCTATTAATAAGGTAGATTGGTATAGATAGGTTAGATAGGTGTAGATAGATGTAGATGTATTAGGTAGACCCTGGCTAAAGCTAGGAAATTGCCAGGTAGAAGAAGAAGAGAGATGTACATAGATGTATTGTAGATATATAGATTTATATCTTTTAATTCAAGTAGAGAAAAAGTATATTTAATACTATTTTTATTTAATTTTTTCATAATTTATAAGGTTCATTGGTATAGATGACAAAAATATGATGATAAGAAAGTTGTAGATAGATAGAAAGATATATTCTTTTAAGATCAAATACAGAAAAAAAGTACTTTTGATTCTTTTTGGTCAATTTATGACAGTTAAAAGTTTAATTATATTCAATAGTAGTAATATTAATTCATTGTTTTATTAAATCTTTATTATTGTAATCAACAGGTGTACAAGAAATTGGTTTCTGAAGGAAAGATAATTGAGAAGGAAGAGGTCGGTCCACCAAAAGTACCGATGGACTATGACTGGGCTCGGGTAAGGAATATGTGTATTATATAAAAGAAAAGATAATAAAAAGATACATTCTAAGATAAAAATATGAAAAGGTAATGTTTCTCAAATCAAATGTGTAATAATATATCCACTTTTCATCTATTTAATTTGTTATGTTTATATTTCTTTTTATATATTTAAGTGGTATATATGATATGAGAAATTGTATTCAAAATATTTAAATATTTTTCATTTTATTTTAACAAGTTAAGTTTTCCCTATTCAAGATAATATATAGAGAAAGTATTAATGTAGTAACAATATTGCAACATGCTGTATATATAATTCACAAGAACACAATCTTCCGCAGATACCAGGTTCGATTCCTAGCGATGAATCTCTCATTACATATTTATTGAAAATAATAATAATTAATATATATGTTCACAGAAACTCGGTATAATCCGTAAGCCGGCGGCGTTTGTGAGTACTATATGTGACGAGCGAGGCCAGGAGCTAAGCTACTGCGGCGTGCCCATCACCTCTATACTGGAGAAACAGATGGGAGTAGGTGGCACCATAAGTCTGCTTTGGTTAGTATTATATACTAGTTTTTGCCCGCGACTTCGTCTGCGTTAGTTTCGGAATTAGAAATGAATTTTGACTAGGCGAACTCTGTTCCTTAGAGATAGTAGATAAGATTTTGGTTTTGATCTACTATTTTTTCTTTCTTTTTCAATGGTATGAAAAGTATCCTATGTCCTTTCGCTTGTTTTAAGCTATCTTTGATCCAATTTTGATCCAAATTGATACAGCCGTTCTTGAGTTATAAATAGTGTAACTAACACGACTTGATATTTATAGTCACGTGAATTCATGCAATATACAACTCTTATACCGTAATTTACAAACTATACAGAATTTTATGTCAATCTATGTCCTTTTCACGTTTCGAATCTACGTTACTGTGAAGTTTAATCGAAATCTGTTCAGAAACTTTTGCGTTAAACAGAGACAAACATGCTATGTACGGAATAATGATTAAAGTATTAATATATAATGTATTTTAAAGGTTCCAACGCGAGTTACCTGACTGGGCGTGCAAGTTCTTTGAGTTGGTGTTGATAGTGACGGCTGATCACGGGCCTGCTGTGTCTGGGGCTCATAATACAATGGTTACCGCGCGGGCTGGCAAGGATCTTATATCATCTGTAGTTTCCGGGCTGCTAACTATCGTGAGTTCTCATATATTACACTATTGAAGCAATTATAACATATAATAAATGTATTAAAATCAAATGTAAAGTCATTCGTAGCTTATTGGTTAAAAGGTTCGCCTCCCATGCATGAGGGCGCGGGTTTGTATCTGGTCCGGGCAAGTACCAATGTGATTTTTCCGAGTCATATGTACTTTAGAGTATTTAGACATCACTGATTAATGCATTGCCAAAGAGGGTTGATGTCAGGCAGGTCGTGAAAAAAATTAGCCGAAACTATTCACATGTAAGGCAGACCCTGGCTATAGTGCGGAAATTGCCAGGAAGAAGAATAAATGTATTAATATGTTTATATTATTATTTTCCAGGGAGATCGTTTCGGTGGTGCCTTAGATAGAGCCGCTGCTGACTTTTGTGCAGCTTACGACAAAGGGCAGCATCCTCAGGAGTTTGTTAACGAAAAACGAGCTAAGGGCGAACTTATTATGGGCATCGGACATCGGTTAGTACAATATATACTAATTTTTACACGCGACTCTGAACATTAGTTGCGCTGATAAAGAAATGTATAGTGTGTTAAAACAATACATATAGTGTCCTACGTCGCCGTCTGTTCATTGTATATAACGTACACATAATCAGCGCCGTCTGTCGGCTGGTTTGTGAATCATCATCATCTGGAGAGACGCGCGATGATACAGACATACATACAGATCGGTACACACGATTAGTAGAGTGACATACACACGCATATATCCGTGAACACTTGTCAATGTGTTTGTATCACTGAATTTTAAACACGGGGACATTTATATTATATAGTACTAGCTGTCCGCCCGCTGCTTTGCCCGCGTGGAGTTCGGTTATATCGCGTTTCCAAGAGAACCTTTCAAAAGTCTGGGATAAAAACTATCCTATGTTCTATCTCAAGGTCAACTTTATGTCTGTACCAAATTTCATTAAAATCAGTTCAGTGGTTTAGTGGTGAAAGCGTAACAGACAAACAGAGATACAGAGTTACTTTCGCATTTATAATATTAGTAGGGATGTTCAATAATGGGTACAATAATTTGTGGTTCTTGTACCCATAAATATAAAATCACCTAACAATGCATACAAACGGTTTTGATGTTCATTTTTCTTTTTAATTTCATATATTTAACCTATATTTGTAACAAGAAATCAAAGGCTTTTTATTATTTATTTATTTATAATCAATAATATTAATAACTATATAATCTTCCAGTGTGAAGTCCATCAACAACCCAGATTCACGTGTCCGTGAGTTAAAGGCGTATGTTACGTCCCGCTGGCCCGCGTGGCCGGTCACGAGGTACGCGCTGGACGTGGAAGCCATCACTACCAGGAAGAAGCCCAACTTGATACTGAATGTTGATGGAATAGTTGCAGCAGCTATGGTGGATTTATTCAGACACTGCCAGCTGTTCACACAGTACGTACTATTATCAATACCTAGCTACTTCCCGCGGTGTTACCCGCGGATGTAAAGATGTAAAGTAGCCTATGTCTTATTCCTGGATATCAGCTTCCTGTATACAAAATTCTATCAAAATCGTTTCAGCGGTTGCAGCGTGAAGAAGTAACAAACATACACTCACAAACTTTCGCAATTATAATGTTAGTAGGATAGTTATATTTATGTATTCGTAGGTTCGATACTCGCTATATGCAAATGAGTACATAGAAAAGAAATCAGAATTTCTACACAATTTTCTATGTTTTGATATATAAGTTGTGATAGCAGAAGTCACCGAAATTTATAGTCTTTGTAACTTATTCAACATACAACTGTTGTGGTAGGTTCGATTCCTGCTACTACTACTAATACTACCTCTTGACCGCGTTCGTATATACAATTGATTTCATAGAGAAATGTATTGAGTGTTTTGAAATATTATGTATATTAGCAGAATCTCAGCGACATTACTATTAATAGTTGCGAAATAAAATATATTCCATGTCTGATCTACAATACAGTAAAGTTTCATTTAAATCTGTTTAGTAGTTTTCGTGCGAATGAGCAACAAACATACAATATCTTGACTTTTATAGACTATTATATAAAGGCAATAGTTTGAAAATTAAAAGAATCTCATGGATAAAATTTTATTATAAGTTTAGTGTATATGTTAGGGAGTTTAAAATATTCTCTATTTATTTTAGACTTAACTATTATTAAATTTTGTTGTAAAGACATTTGCCACATTTTGAACTTCAAATTCTTTACGTAATACCAAAATTATCGATAACAACACGTCCTTCTAGTCTTCCTGTCGTAATATAAAGTAAAAAATTAAATCTATTATGACAATATTTCGTCAAATATGTTGTAGTATGTAATATATGTTCTTAAATTTATCTAATTACAGAGAGGAAGGTAACAGCTACATCAGTATGGGCTCTATAAACGCGTTGTTCGTGCTCGGTCGTACCATCGGTCTGGTTGGGCACTACTTGGACCAGAAGCGTCTCAAACAGCCTCTGTACCGCCACCCGTGGGACGACATCACCTACATGTCCCCACTCAACTAAGAAACGATCAGTTTTCTGTCCAGAGATGGCGCTGTCGGTAGAGGTAACTTAGTGCTTCAGAGCTTCGTCCACAGATGGCGCTAATAATATTATACTTATAAAATACTTCACGGCCTCATCCATAGATGGCGCTGTAAATAAATTTAACATTTCTATAGTCTGACAGCTACATCGACTGATGGCGCTAATTATTACTATTGAACAAGAGATGGCGCTGTCACTGGAAGCATTCAACCCTATTTTTATATAAATTATTCAATGTTACAACTTTAAAATATTTATCGACGTTGGACAGCGCCATCTATTATAGATATCTTATAGAATTTAATAGAGAAAAATAGTTTTTGGGATACTAAATGTAGTTTGTAATACAATGTTATTTATCACGGTCCGTAGAGCTACATAATAATATGAGTACATTCCGTGAGCTCGACGTGCTCGTGTTAAGAGTAATGCTTCACAAATGATGCACGCAGATTACAAGGAATAAATGAACACATTATATGGCAGAGTGAATATTATGTAATTAAGGTCACAAATAAGTTATTTTAGACTTTAATCATACGGAGGAAACAAAAAAAAATATTTAAAAAACATATAAATATATAGAATTTTGGACTATCGTAATGTTTTGAGGGTAGTGCGTCTATAAAATATGCTTGTGCACATGTTGATAATATTCTGATTTCAATAATTTTACTTAATAATTTTCTATTATTTAATACTCAAAAGTGAATAACGTGTGGTTCCACATATAAACTCCTTTAAATTTTACGGTTTTTGTATAAATGTTTTTATATTTATTTAATTGACGCCAACATCTAATATTTAAATTAAATTGTCATATAGTTGTACATAACACGCGCACTCCCCTCTCGTAGTTGTAAGTCTATTGAATTTTTTTTTACTATAATTTATTGGTATAGTTGTGTCAACGGTTGGTAGGTGTATCTGTAAATATTGGAATATGACAAAACATATTTGAATATATATTATTTTTTAATTATTATCATTTTGTTTTATTGCTCATTTGAAATAAATGTTTTTAAGAAATCGGGCATTTTATTTGTATTGTAAAATAGCTGTCTTATAATATACATACAGGGTGACTCAATAAAACGTGTGTAGAAGAAAATATAAATGGTATAGATAAAATGAAAATGGGGTTTTGTAATCTTGCAATTGAAGTTTGGTTTCTTAAAAATTACATTATCAAAACGATAACCTCTTGACGAATGCACTCCTCTAACCGTAAACGAAAATTATGTAAAAACTTTTTTCAATAATGTCGGTGTAATTAATGACATTGTCCAGGAGCGGATCTTAGATTTCTGGGGCCCTGGGCTAATAATGCTTAGGGGCACCTCCTAATTACTTAACTAATTGCAAATTTAACAAGAAACTGTTTTCTGTAGTGCTATATGTAATGTATTATGTGTTATATAGGAAGAAAAAAGGAAAGAAAATAATTTATTATAATATTATTTATTGCAACATATATTGAAAGGTTATACATGGTTATGTTATTTAAATTATAAAGCAAATTTTCTGCATTTTTGTGCTGCAAATTCTTTAATTTAAGGTCATCGCATTGCAGTTTCTTTGTAAAATCGGAATTTATCGAAAGAACTGATAAATGATTTAGTCGTTTGTTTGACATTGCTGTCCTGTATTTAATTTTTTAGCTTTCTCTTCGTATTCCTTGAGCTTCTGATCTTATTGTTGCCTTATATTCGTCACGAATTCTTTTAATGAAAAAATAATTTATTGGCTTCTATAATGTCTAAACCAGGGCTCTGTACTTTTTTAATTACTACATACATTAAATTTCTCAAAAATTTATTCCCAAAAAACAATCAAAATTGCAGTTTCTAGTTTAACCAGCTTATTAAATAAATTTCGTGCCTCTTTTCGGAAATCAATTTTCTCATTATCATTTTCGCCAAAACTATTAAGAATTTGCATAATGCCATCATAATTATTTTTCAAAGCTTTGAAAGCATCAAAATGACAAGAGCATCTGGTTTCGCTTAAACTTTTTATCGTTAATTTTTGTTTTATTTCACGATTTAACAGATTCAATCTGTGGGTCAAAGCAAATAAGAAGACGTATTTTTTTAAGGGAATGCGCAGCACATTGCACGTAATCCGCGGATTTGTTTTTTTCCTTTAGTAGTGCTTGAACACCATCGTAGATTTCGGCCATATTAGCAGCGTTATCATATGACTGTCATTTGTTTCCAAAAAGGCTTGTAGTATATTAAATAAATATAAGCCAGTATGACTACTAATTTTAATAAAAGATACACATCTTTCATACACTTTTCCCTGAAAGCAGTATCGTAATAATATAGTAGCAAGTTAGTCATCGTGAGACAGATATGGGGTTGATCCATTATAATTAAATAATACTTTGTGTCGTCTTTATTTATTTCGGTTATAATTTGTTTAATAATTATTGACATTCTTTTTGTATATTGAGTTATTAGCTAACTAATAATTTTGGTTTTGTTTCAAGTTAAAGAAAATCCAGGATTATTTAGCTTTCTAAAACGTATCGTTTACCTGAGTTTTTATAAAGTTAAATCTTGGTTGGTCTGAGCCTGTCACTGTTAAAGACATTAAAATGTGTTAAGTGCGAGAAATTAGCAGTGAAACTCGTTGTTCTATAGTTGCTTTACACAACGAAGGTAAATCTGAACGTGCGATTGCCTCTCAACATAAGTTGTTGAAGACTCGTGGTCATAACACAATAACTCAATACAAGGAGACTGGCAGTTATCGAGATCGTTTGCAATCGGGAAGGACGAGAGCTCCCACTCTAGCGAGGATAAATTTATCGTCGTTACCAGCAAGCGGAATATACGACAGCACGACAAATCCTCCAAAAGTGAAAAAATCTATCTAAAATCGATCTAAACTCACGGCTTCGTTCCCTGGAGCTCGAAATGGTAAATTAAAGAGAACGAAAGAGAAAAAATATTAGAAAATAAATTAGAACAGAAAGAGAAACAAATATCAGAATTAGTAAATCATCTAGAAATGGGGGGAAAAATCGGGGATATTTTAAAACAGACGGAAGCGATACAAAAATTGATTAGCTTTGATGTACTTGGTAGATTTGATGAGTATCCTCCGGGCCGGGCGCTATGCGGGAATGTGAAGAAATTGGAGGGCCTAGCGGAAGAGACGGGGGTGAAGGTGGACACGGTCGGGACGCGGGTTGGGGGGGTCGGAGGGAAGCTGGAAGAGTACGGAGTAACCGTAAGGGAAACCGGAAAGGCCTTAGAGACCCTCAAAGCCCCGGCGACAACGTACGCTGAGGCAGCGAGAGCTCCGAAACCAAAGGCCCGGCCCCCTCGGAGCCGTCCGAACCATGCGTTGATCGTGTCGTCCACCACCCCCAAGGATACGAGTGAGGAGGTTATAGGGAAAGTTAGAGAGGCCCTCGATGCGCGAAGGACGGGAATACAAGTTGAAAGGATAAGGAAAGTAAGGGACGGTAAGATTGTGATCAGTTGCGGCGACCGGCCGGGTCTTGAGAAGACTGCAAGTCGACTCAGGACCCAGGCTGGCCTCACCCTCGAGGGTCAAGGAGGTTTACCGGAAGAAGATAGAAATGTACGCAGTTGTTGCCCCTCCTCACAAGAAGACATGTGAAGGAATTTACAAGAAAGCTGGAACAATATTCCACAAGAAACAATCGACAAATTGATTGGTCGTATGCCAAGACTACATAGTGGAAAGAGTAATAAAATGACACTGAGTTTTTTGATGAAAAATCTGTTTTAATATTAACGATATTTTTTATGTAGATTATTATTATTTTCTTCTTGAGGTATGTGTAGGAAGTATGTTAATTATTGATTAAACCTCTTGCTTCATTTTTTTTGAATTTTATTTCATTTTCAGTCTAAGATGAGATTGTCTCAAACTTTTAGCCGGCTATATACCGTTTTTGTCGTTTTCAGCGACCGTAAGTCAATCTTGTGCTTTTTAGGCCCTAATAATATTAATAAAAATAAGATTAATTGAATACGAAAATTGGCGCTTTTCAATTTGAATACAAAACAGGGGCGTAGCTATCGCCGTATTTGCCGTATCAATTATAGTGTAAGTGAGTAAGGAAAAAGAACCTGCTTTAACTTGGCCCCCTTAATGAATGATATCGAATTTTCATTAATGCAAATCGTTTAATAATCGTTTCAAAAGATTAAGTAGTTAAAAATATTTGATTAGCAAGTAGCAGTAAAGAAATTTTTTTTACTAATCATGAAAACTTTGCACCAACTAAATTTAATTTCAAATAAAAAAGATGAACGTGAAGAATGTAAAAGTATAGGGTGTCTCACGGAAAATTTCGAATTTAAAAAGGCTATAAAAAAAGAACGACTCGATAGATTTCAATGATCAAACATTTATTTGAAAGCATAATTCATGACATTATTTGTGAAAAATTATCTCGGTCAAATGTCCACCACAGCTTACTTGGCAGTACCCTATTCGATCAGTCCAATTTTTCAGTACATTTTCAATTGTTTCCGGCCTTATGGCAGCAATGGCAACTTCAATTTCATGTTTCAAGTCATCAATCGTGCTTGGCTTGTTGGCGTAACAAACGTCTTTGACCGCTCCCCAAAGGTAATAATCCAATGGTGTTAAATCGCAGCTTCTTGGAGGCCAATTCACATCACCATTTTTGCTGATTATGCGATTTTCGAAGATTGGGCGCAAAACATCGACCGTAGCATGGGCTGTATGGCACGTAGCCCCGTCCTGTTGAAACCAAATATCGTCCAAATCATACTCTTCCATTTGACCGAAAAACCAATCAGTTAACATAGCGCGGTAGCGCTCGCCGTTGACGGTTACGGCGGCTCCTTCATCATTTTCAAAAAAAAATGGGCCGATGATGCCGCCGGACCAAAATCCGCACCAAACAGTCACTCGTTGTGGATGTATCGGTTTCTCCTCAACGACGTGCGGGTTTTCTGTGCCCC